GACAAGTATGAATTCATATTTCTTTTTTTTCGACGTGTATTTAAATTCAATTCAATTATTTATTATATTTTAATGTTGTAACAATATAGATCTAAAGAATTAGAGGTGAACCCTGGAAGGGCACAGCAATCATATTAATAAATGTTACATAAAATACATAGCTTCACTTCTATTTATCGTAGTAGCGGATTGGTAGCTTTAGAGTATGTATATTAAAATTAGAAAACATAATTATATTAAAGTCCGTTTCTAAAAATTGTTTTTACCTATCATTTTAACTTATTCTAAACCACCAAGAGCTTGTCGGACATGAAAATAGATAACGTATTTGACAATTTTAAGCATCCAGTATTCTAATACTTATTTCTGATAATTATATACCTATTTTTATTTTTGTAATTCTTAATAGGAGATACAAAATAAAAAATAGGCAAGTGTATTACTTAACGTTTTTCTAATCTAAATTCCCGAAGTTTTAAGGAAAATGAAAGTAATAGAGCTTCTGACCTCTGTTGTGTAGATTTTTGGACGATATATCTCAAGTTCGGTTGCATAATATAAAGTCAAGACATTCAGTTTTATACTTTCTGTGTAACTTTTGGATGTGGTAAAAATCATAATATCCACTAAATATGTTAATCGAAGATTGGTAAGACAATATTTAACAAGTACCTACAAAAACTCGAATTTCAAGTTAATATCAAAACCAGACTTCATATAAACCAGAGTAAGATCAAATTTATATTTACGAATAGAGATGTATAAATATAGATATCCCTAGAGTTTTGTAACCTACATTTGGTATCCAGGACTTGGAATCACTGACAACTACATGAAAGAAGTAACAAAAACATCATAGAACAACATAGTAGATGATAAAATAAGTTTTAAAACATCCAAAAGAAAATATGCTGAAAGAGAAACACCAAAGTTAGTGTATGGGAGATTTATAGGTGTAGACTAATGATGATGATAAACAAAACTTTAAAAAAATGAAATTAAAAATCATAGGGTCTAAAATATTTGATAATAACGCAATTATATTTTTACATGATTTTAGTTAAGTAATAAATCGGTATTATTCGTTTTTCTGATGTGCGAATTACCGCTTTATTCAGAAAATATTTCATGAGGTTATGTTGATTTGGTTTATGAGGTGAGGATTGTCATCAATTTCTTTATAAAAAAAGTTGTATATGTTGTTTTATTATTATAAAATAAAAAATACTTGAATTTAATTTGGAAAAAAGTGGTATTTTAATAATTGTTCTATGACAAAAAGAATAATTAAATTAAGTTCCAATTGACTGAGATATGTATTATATAATATATACCTATCTACATAAAAGAAATATACACACAAATTGAGAATCTACTCTTTTGTGAAGTTAGTTAAAAAGGATCTTGATGGAGAAGTATATGAGTATGGTGTATAACAACTCTATCTATATAGCATTCATATTCATATCTGTCAGCAACATTGGAAACCAGCCAATCCTCGAAAGAGATTTATGTATATTTACGATAGGCTTTACCAATTTTATTTGTATTATAATTGGAGGGCTAAGGGTATCAGAATGATAGAAGAATAAAGACAGAGTCGCAGGGTTATGAACTGATTAGTCGAATGGAAAATGCAGTACTTTGTATTTACTTCTAACTCTTACATTTCTAATCCATTTTAAAACATTCTAAGTGTGAAATTTAAAATGGTCATGTGCTAATATTACTATCATCCTATCCCATGAGGTTATAGTAATAAGCAAATAAAAAGTAGACTGTTCTTAATAGCAAAGAACAATTTCAAATTATATGACAATTGTTCGATTTATTAAGGCATTAAGAAGTAATAAATATTACACTGATGAGACAATGAGAAAAGATGAGAGGTAATAAATATTCATCATCATCACATTAGTCTTTAACTGCCCACTACTGAAAATAAGCCACCCCTTTGGGGGGGGGGGGGGAGGGGAGAGTTGCCAATAGTGCAACTATTTGGCTGGCGGATTGGCAACTTCAGTTAAGGCTTTGGAGATGTTTTAAGAGGGCCGCTGCTGCCTATCCCTCGCTGCTCTACCTAATAAATATTATATATTTTTAAATTGCCCCAATGGAATTTATAGATTTTATAAAACAGTCAAAAAATAATAATAATAAAGTAATATATACGAGGTCTGTCCGGAAAGTTCGTATAAAAGTGTTCTGGAATGCGAGAAAGAGGAGTGGGGAGGCCAGGTAAGCGCAGGACCCCTTCCTTATGTCCCTAACAATGCTTCAGTTCTGGTCTGACCGCCGTGCGGTGCGAACTGGCTTGTCACGCCATCTGTGAAGTTACCTCTTAACGAAACCCCGTCGGCATGGAGCCCGCTTCCGTTGAAGAGCAGCGCGTCGTAATCAAGTTTCTCTCGAAACTCGGCAAGAATGGCCGTGAAATTTTTGCCGATCTCAGAACAGTTTATGGGGATGATGCTGTGAAGGAACCAACCGTCCACAAGTGGCTAAAAAGATTCAGAGAGGGCCGAGAAAGAGTTCGATGTTCGGGGGATTGTCCATCAAGAATTCGTCCCTCCAGGCCAGACAGTTGATGGAAAATTCTACGTCGATGTGCTCAGACGCCTCAAAGCTCGTGTGGCACGAGTTCGTCCAGAATTGGCGCGAGAGGGGCGTTGGATTCTTCACCACGACAATGCCCCTGCCCACACCTCTCTTGTTGTCCGTGAGTTTTTGAGTAAAAATTCCATTACGGTGACCGAACACCCCCTATTCGCCGGATTTGGCCCCGTGTGACTTCTTCTTGTTCCCAAAAACCAAATTGGTACTTCGGGGGCGGCATTTGGGGGACATAAATGAGATAAAAAAAGCTACGACGGGGCAGCTGAGAAACCTACAACCAGAGGACTTTCAAGGAGCCTTCTCACAGTGGAAACGGCGTTGGCACAAGTGCATTATGTCACAGGGGGAGTACTTTGAAGGGGATAAAATTGATTTACCTGAATAATTGTAAAATAAAATTTTTAAAAAACTTTTATACGTACTTTCCGGACAAACCTCGTACATGTAAAAAAAAATTTGCTGAAGGTATATTTTTTATTTTATACAAAATATATATTGTTATTTCGATAAAAAGATACTTCTTAATGTTCAAAACGGTTTAGGAAACTACTACAGTTTAATTTCCTAAATCTTAAAAAGCAACAACAGACAGTTTATTATATTATTTATATTAAAATGATTGTTGTACCTACCTACTATAATAAATAATGATCTAGTCGGCGATTTATATTGCTGTTATTTGAAAAAAACAAATATTTACTTTGTAGTATATGTATAATTTATAACACATTCATAATTAGGACTCTTTAATGTCATTGTCATTATATTTTCTTTCTGGTCTTTTTATTAAATTTAATCGAAGCACGAGGTTCAAGACTTTTGTATACAAAGTTTTCCTGTACTGTGTGCAAGTCATATATTTGAATTGATCTAAAATATGAATTATATTTTACAATATTCCTATTTCATTATAACTATCTGGCATGCATAATAAAAGAATGCAAAGCAGTGTGAAATTATTTATCGTTTGTTTATTAACGTTGTAACTGAAAATAAAATACAAGCTTTATAAAATGAAGCCATTCCAATAATTTGAGTTAGTAGGCAAAGTTATTATTTTTTAATTCACATTGTGAACGGCGCTATTAAACTAAATGAACGTATGTCTTGCAGTCTCTGTAATTTAATATTATATTATTAGGTCTACCTTAGCTGAAATACGCGGAAGCGATCATCGTTAGAAGCCACTTTGTCAATTTTAAGTGAAGCTTCTGATTGCAAAGTTATTATAAATACTTCGCAAGCGAAATGTATTCTACGCGGGTGCACTTTATTTCAAAAAGTGAAAAAATAGAAAGAAGTAGAAGGTAAGTAGGATGTCAGCAATCGTGTCTGGAACTAAGAGACGTAGCTATTATCGCCGGAAGTGGGATATTGTTTCCGGAATCAATGATGCTACGTTCTCAACATACTCGCTTTTCGTGTATTCACATATTTCTGGAAATTTTACTAAAAGAATTAATAAGAAACGCAGCAGAAGTTTATCGACTGTAACTGGTCATGCCATAGTGCCGTCTAAAAGATGAAGAGAATAGAACCTTTAAAGCAGCTTTTCCAACAATGTAGTAGACAACACGCACGGTCCCCGCCTGATGTACGATTATCTACGAAACAGGTTAATAAATGACATCACACTCCATTCTATCAAACGCCTACTTCATTGATATTTGTTTGCACACTGCACAGCATTGTGATAGGAATAGATGTGGAATTTCTTTCTTTTTTTTTAAATATACATTTGTGCTCGTGTCAACGGTCATCGTGTCGAAAATTTTGAATTCGAGTGCATTTAATATTTTGTAATGTTATGTGAATGACATTGATGATATTTCAGTTGATATTTGACCACCAAATTCTGTCGTTTATTTTTGAAAAATTTATCGATCTCGTCTATCGTCTTGATTTTTATTCCTTTCTGTATTCGTAATGTTATTGGAGTGCCATGTTAGCCAAAATATTTCTTAATCGCCTTGGCTCTTCTTTTTTTGTATGATCCGTGTAAAATTTGTTTTATAATTAAATCCAATTCGAATATTAAGGTGACGGTGACTTTGTTGGTCAGTTATTTTAAAATTAAAATTTAATAACAGATTTAGTAGATAACAAAAAATAAATATTAAAAATTCATACATATAAGAATTTTAGTAAAATAAAACTAGATTGAGTAAAATCAATTTGACATGCGATTAAATAGTGATTAAATGTGGCGACGTTTCAATCGCGAGTTATATTTTAGATAGTAAGTAGTTAGGTAGTTATTGTAAAGAATAAATATAAGTAAATATAAATGTAAGTAATGCTGACTATTGCACACTAATGCTGATAAAATTGTTCGTGGGTATCGTGTGCACTTAATGGTTATTAGCTGTTGTTAGTTAGCTTACCGAGGTTTTCAGCACTGGCGTTGACATCGTATCGATGCGCCGGTTTGGAGTGCGGCGCGGGGGAATGTAGCGAGGTGCTCTTGTGTCGGCGAATTGTCGGCAGCCGGGATACAAAAGACGCATTGTTCTTGAACGACGCACTCATCACCCGACTGTCAAATATACATATACTTGTCAGTCGACACGACACTCGCAGCCTTGTTAGGGGTTTTAAAAAATATCTTCATATGTATGCATTTTAGAGATATTGTTGCGCGTGTATTTCAGTGGGTACATATACCAATTACTTTCAGTTTGTTTACTTTGAGACATTTCATATTGTAGTTATTGTTTTTTTTGAGCTTGGCTTATATTAATAGTAGATAGTATGCATGACCGAGCATGAGATGGTATATATGTTATATATATCATGAAAAAGTTGGCAACGAACAACTAAGAGCAAGAAAATCTTTGACTGACAAAAGTCTTTTGCTTTTTGGTCGGTTTGAAGAGTCGGATATGGCAGTGAATTTACAGGATACATGTTAGTCCTTAGGTATAACAATGCATGGGGATATCATGGGCGAAACAGTACATTATGTCATGTCCATGGTACTGCTCATATCTATAGGCGACGATTACCACTATTCATCAGATGGGCCGTTAGCTTGTTTGCCATTCTAAGTTGCATAAAAAAATTGATCTACCTATACAAAAAAAATTAAAAGTCGTTTATATTTTGTCTACCATTTTATTTGTGGCCAGTGTAATAAAATAATCATAATCTTAGATATTTACCTAGTCTGAGGGCTCGGAAGCGGCACTTGATGGATTTTCCATGTAGCCACACTCATGGAATGTTCGTCGGCAGCGTAACACCGCCATAATGCTTGAATGAGAGTAGCTGCTGGCTGGCGTCTCCGTATCATATGCTTTTGACGCTGTTGCTGTTGTACTTTCAAAGCAAATCCAGAACCCAAGATACCCTAGCAAATAATGGATTGTATTACAACCTATTGGATTAAATTAACTGGTTACGTAAAAGGACTGTACTCATATGTAAGTGATTCTCACCGCAGGGAGTGCGAAGAATGATATACCGAGCAAAGCACAAAAAGAAGCGATGAATTTCCCTTGCCAGGTCTGTGGCACCATATCACCATACCCCACAGTGCACAGCGTGATCTGCGGTAAAGACTTATTAGTTATTACTTAACTCTAATATAGAAAGATTCAGATATATTATTATTACTGGAAAGATAATAAATAATGATTCGGTACAATTATAATACTTTGACAATAGTAACAATTGGTCCAATAATTTTAAAAATATAATATTTTTTAATGTAATAGTGATCAGAATAACTGACGCGTATTTTAGTCGAGAAAGCTCGGCTAGTTTTGGAATAATAAGTAGTTATGAAACTTTAAACAATAAAATATTTTAACAATACTTACGACCCCCCACCATAAAGCTTCTGCAAAATTTTTGAATTTTGTGTCTGCCACGTCTTTTTCTGCTAAATATACTAAGAACGATGCAAATATCAGCCCGAGGAATCCTATATATAGTGTTGTGATTAATTCCTGAAAAAAAAAAATCAATTTAAATAGATTTTAAGTACATGTATGTGAAAACGATTTTTTGTACAAATATCTAATATTATTCATAAACCTTGACTATAAAATATTAAATCTCAATGTAACGATTAATATAAATAACAGTAAATATGTTACATAATTTTTATAGTAGATTAGATGAGAATAGGATGGGCTTTTTTTAACGAATGATAATGGAATGGTAACCCCGCCGGCGCTAATGGCTGACGAGGCATCAGTGGGAGATGATAGGTGAGGATGAAGCAGTTCAGTTAGCCCATCGTGATGAATACAATACAATGGAGGAGGACCTAATAGGGCATATTGCTAGGAATGGGGCTGTCAAACTCCATTGCATACAATCTCTTTCCCCCCGAATAGGATGGGCTATACTGATTGATTAGAATAACAAAATAGTTTGACTTTCACGATACCAAATGCTCCGTGAACTCTATATTTCATAATGATGGGATAAGCCGTTAAGAGGTCAAGAGGTACTAACTAAGCTTTCATATCTCTAATGTTATAGTTGTAAATAGTAATGGATTCTTTTTTGATATTTACACTTAAATTTTTGTCCAGCTCTACCCAAAATTAATGTTAATATTGTTACGAAATTTTTGTAACAAACAAAGTTTTGCACTAAAGTAGTAATTTGGTAATATACCAACCTAAATATATAAATAGGTATATGTAAGTCGTGCAAAGATTACTAACAGATTGAACGGAGGGCTATTAAATCGAGATACGCGGAGTTCATACTAAGGGATTTTTCTGCTACATTAGATAAGTTGAATGTAATAAAAGCTGTGATTTATAAAAGTGAATCTTCTTTCTCTTTGATATTGTGAAAATAAAAAGGAAAATAATGCCACCAATTTCCTTAGATAGAACTCATTATAATTAGGTATTTCAATTCGAAGGCAATAAAAAAACAAATTTTTTGCAATGCAATTATGTGAAATATTTGCTACCTGATTCGAAACTGTGTTTTATATATGTTTCTTGTAATCAATAGTGTTTACTCTTGTGTTTATGTCCCATTATTTTTGCCATAGACTAATTTTTAAAATTTTATTGTTAAAAATACAGGTAATTGACGTCCGTTAAAACCTCTCTGGTTTTGCAGGAAGAAAACTCTTACAAATAACTCAGAGTTTAAATAAGTTAAGACTAGGCTCCGAGCAGCGATCTAATAATTTGCTTGAAGATGCCTCGTTTAGAGGTGAAACAAGTGTCGTAAAACGTGCGTGAACAAAATGGCAGTCGGAAATTGATGGCTAATATGGAAGGTTTTGAAACTTCTGTTAGTACTAGTGATAGTCAATCGTCAAGTGTTTGTAATTATACACATACTAATGGTAGCGGATTTATACAAAATAATTGTAATCAAATAACCAGAAATAAAATAAACACAGAAATTTTGGTAGCAAAGAAATAAAAAAAAAATAATGCAATTTATTTTTCTGCTCAATTTTTAATGAATGTATGGATGATGCTCAAGATTTGTCAACATGATAGAATGCAGTAAAGCGAATAATAATAGGTAATTAAAATAATGATCTATACTCAGATTTATATTCTATAATAATATTAATTGTGTTATTCTGAACAAAAATATTGATTGAGTTTGGTCCGGATCTTCAGACAGGTCAACACGACTGATATTCGACTGATATCCTGTTCGATATTTTTATTATAGGTTATTCGAAAATATTATTGTCCTTATATGACAGTCGTAAGAATTGTATTTCATGTATATTCGGTCTGACCTGGAGGTATCATATAACTTTAACCTGTATAATCAGAACAACTGTTAGTATCAAGATATCGAGTCCCACCTTGTTGTATTTGTTGTTGAGTGTATCTACCTACTTGGAAGCCAAAGGAAATTGCGGTCCGCTTTGCTTACTCAGCATGGTTATGCAAGAGCTAAACTTATCGTTCGAACAAGGCTAACGAGGGTCTACTTATTATCGTAAATAAATATTTCATTGCGGTAGAATGGTTGGAATATCATTGAAGAGAAGAAAAGGTCATAAAAAGAAATAAGTATATTGACAAAACCAGTTATTTTGATTTAAAAACCAAACTACTGAATAGATGTTGATTTTTTTTATTTTTCTAATATGAATGAATATCCTTTCAAATAAATAAGTCTGTTTACAAATGGCAAAACTTTTGAGGTAGCAAACATAAAAAATACAACCGAATTGAGAAAATTCTTCTTTTTGTATTGGGTTAAAAAATATGATGCGTTATATGTTGACGTAGGGTGCTTTAAATTGTGCTTTTTATGTTTATACGGAATAAATATATATTTAAAAGATAATCGATTTGTGTTAGTTGTGTTCTAGTGTTTAATAATAAACGTTATTTATTAACACATTATCAAAAAAAGATTAGTTCGATTACTCAGACTAACGTTAGAAAAATGTCACCGGCGAGGCTTGAGGACTAGCCACTCTGTCGTGCAATATATTACACTTATAGTGATAATTGAAGTTATAGTTCATTTATTAGTAAGTTACAATACCTTCTAATGTGCATTAAAAGGTATTGCACTTACTACACTATAGTGTCATAAGTACAAAATAATATTTTGTGATTTATCTACAATAATACTTTTAATTCTATGAGATTTTTCTTATTTAGGTATAAGTTCTCGTATGTACAGAATCCATAAGGTGTCTTTTCTAAGTACTTCTATGTTACAAGGTTAGCCACGTTTTTTGTGTATGGACATGTAGAAATTCCATTTTCTACTTGAGACAAAACCTATGTTAATTTTGGTTTTTGTTTTGTGACTGCTGTATCTAATTTGGGGTATCCTTTAAGTATATTGGGTCGTAGTATTGAGAATAAGACAGATTGAATACTGAGGCGGCGTAGGCTCCTCAATATGCGCAGAAAGATCTATGAGGGAAGTAAAGAGAAGAGGTAAATATTATATTGTATATTTGTATCTATAACGAGTCTATGATGGTGTTCATGTTAATAGATGAAGGTTACCACGTTACCTTAGATCAGACGTCACTTTGTTTGTTTTTCTCCTGAAATAGTATTTTATATATATATATATATATATATATATGTATATGTATATATATATATATATATATATATATATATATATATATATATATACATCAAAACGTTCGTGTTGGCATAAAATCAGAATATATTGTATATTATTTATGAGTAATTACGTCAAGTTAAGTTTAGTTTGTGTTATTAATTAAGGAAAAGATAATGTAATAATAAGTACAGTTTTGTGTACGACATAGGTAAGTACTTATATAGCCAAGTGCCTGATATATATTTTACTGTTTACGCCTTGTTTACGCAACAAACTATTATATTATAATCTATGACGCAACTAGTGTACAGATGTGTAAACAGTAAAATATATTTGTATTATATTGTATATTTACTTTAAAATTAGTATTTAAAACCTAGTTTTTAAACTATGTAAGAGCTAATAATTATGCCTAATCCGGCCTTATACATATATACTCTGATAATTTGTATTTTTTTTAATATCTTTATCTAAGATGGACTACCTATTTAAATTTCTTACCCATATATTAAAATAAATCCTGGTAATTTTTTTTAAATACCTACTAATAGCGTATCATGTTATTTAAATAAGTTTTCTAAGCTTAAGACACCCTTATTCTATTTATTGTAATAGTTCTTAATAAAAATAGAATAAAGGTAGAAAATAGAAGGAAGATTTGTTGGCTCATCAAGAAGAGTTCGCCAAGATAAGTATGGTGGTTTTTTCTTGACTACATTAGTAGTAACTAATAATATAGGAAGTAATTAAGTCAATTAGTCGTTTAATAATTTCTTAATTTCTTCTCTATCTCAATTATATATAGATTGGTCGATAACTGCTCGTCTTTCTTTTAGCACTCACTTATTATTCAGTAAATATATATATACATAATAATTTTATAAACATAATTCTGTAGGTAAATTAGGAGTATATGGAATAAGTATATTGGAATAAAAATTTGGTTTAATCATGTAACTTTTTATAACTTTTTATAAATTTGAAAAACTTATTTAATTTTAAAACATGTTATTAGATAAATTGGAAAACTATGTATTATCTAGTGCAGTCATGGGGAAGAAAGGAGATCGGGTGGCAAACTCTTACCATGCATGCAGTGAAGGGTGACCCTTAGCTAATCAGCGGATGCGGGTGGCTTAGGACCGTTCTTTATGGCGGTCTGTGAGGGAGGTCTATTTAGCAATGGTGTAAGATTGATGATAATAATTGTGTTTATACCTATTGTAGTGCGAGAAAAGCGTTACTTTGACCATGTATAAGAATTATTGACTATACATACATTTCGATAGAGGATTAGACTGTCCATATGACTAGATAGACAATATCTACCTAAAGGAAAAATCAAGCAAGAGACACGTATTGTACGTAGTTCTGAAAATAGATAAAAATTAAGGTATGTATGTTTGAGTATTAAGTTTTCTGTGCCTACCCCGAAAGGGGACTAGCATAAAGATAGATAAATGGATGTATGTAGTAATTATTTATTAATTTATGTTTAGTAATAAATAAATAAAGTATATGTAAATCCGTTAACATTGAACATCTGTTTTATTTAAATTACGGTTTATGCTAAACTCGTACTCGTTGCTTGCGCGCGTAGTTCATATACAAGCTATACTTATAATTAATTCACGTCGTCGGGTAAGGGGGATAGAATCGCCCAAGGACCTCTCCTTAATCTTCGAACCTATTTAATAATTATGAAGTATTAATACAACAGGTTAATTAGTCTCAGATTAGGTGTAAAAGAAATATTAAATAACGACTTTTGTCTATTGCTTCGTGAACGTATAATTCTTAAACTTCCGTGAGGGGACGAAATACGAGTACTAATAAGTGAGTGCTTAAAAACCTAGGATTTCCATTAATTCTTGGTGCTTCTGATTTTACGTTAACTCTATTATACTAC